CTGTTGCTTGCCAAATCTCTTTGGCCAATTCAATAAGTTCTTCATTTGGTTTTAAATCATAAAACTTAATAATAAAATAGTGATCATCCCAGTCCAGTTTTAACATCTCTTTTTTGTGATAAAATTCATCTTTCAATCGTTGTTGGCCCCTTTTAACACACTCATTGATTGCGTCTGAGATCGTATTCGGATCAATCGATGATTGCCATTGTGCAGCATTCTGTTGTAGTTTGATTAAGTATTGACGTAGTTCATTACCTATTTGATGCAACTGATGTTCAATTGTCTTTCGACGTTGTTCAATGTAAGTCTTTTGTGGCCTGTACATCCGACATGTATTATGTTGATGAGCATATTGCTTCGTTAGTGTTGATTCCCACATGTCATCTTTGGAGCTTATATTATGATATTCTTGCCATAATTGTCGCTGTAAATCTTTGAAATAGAGAGTACTGGTAAGTTCACTTAATTGGCGAACAAGATGTAGTTTTTCGGGAGTATCTAAGCATCGAGTAAGTTGGTTACCATCATGAACAGTATTTGACAGTATTTGTTTAAATACTCGATCAGATACTTTCAAATAACGCGGTAGATACTTTTCCATGTAACTCATCGAGGGTTGACTCATCTCATCATTCGATCCTCTGTCTATTGATGTTGTTGTTATTGTTGTTCTTGTTCTCTTAGCATCTCCTTGTGATAATGATAAGTGACGTATCGGTTCGTCAAGTATTGTTGTTGTTTCTGATGTTGGTGTTGGTGTTAATATAAATCTTTTTCTTTTGGGAGCCATCTTCATGCTATCATCACTGTCGTCACTATCTGAATCTGGCAATACCACCTAAACATTCAGATTTAATTGAAAAGAGAGAAATAAGTCCTTAGGTGACATACTCGATCCAGTGGTATGAAGGCGTCGATATTGCGGATGTCTGATTCTTGAAGCTCTACTGCATCATTGCAGAGGTGCTCTTGTGAATGTGCTTGAGAAGAGAATTTTTCGTCGACTAATTTATCTACCATCGTTGAACCTAAACCTTGAGTATAAAGTTGCCGCCGATAACGTTGTCGTTTCCGATCGCCACGGCATTTCTTCTTGTTTGTCGTCGCTATTGCTAATGAAGTTGATGTTGATCGAGCCTTTGGAACAAGAATGTTTTGATTCATGATCAATATATTTATCTAGAATCAGAAAGATCACTATTTTCTCGAAACAAGGAGAAGTTTAAATCAGTTGATAACGACAAACTTTAAATAGAAAGCAATATTTTCGAATATAAGTGGACAAATGTTGTGCATGCAAACACTTTCAACAAATCATCATTTATTACCAGTAGTTTCATTTATCTCAACAAGCACACATACAATCGAAAAGGCATACGGGAAAAATATTGCAATCATCATACGTCGAAGCCAGTGATAAGGTAGAAGTTGTATTTCCATCGTGATCGAGACCTAAAACAAGAGACAACTTTGATTAGAAGACTATATTTTCCATATGATTCAAAAGAATTTGATCCACGTAATCCTTTGCACCGGTACCAATCGATATCGGCATAGGAACACATACAATAATATTCTATTCTAGATGAGACTCCTTTTCTACTGCACAAGAATGCTCAGGCCCGAGACTTCCGTTATTCCGTGAGTGCAAATAGAAAAGTACAAGCGTCTTTCTTCGTTTCAAACGACAGCTCTCTAGTCCGACTATCGGATATTCCTCTCTTCACAAACACAATATGCATATTCGACTGAAGTTAGACTCCTTTCTTACTGCTCGTGAGTGCTCAGGCCTGAGACTTTCGGTATCCAATGCATGCAGGTAAGAAAGTACA